CATTTGAAGTGATAACTTTGTCAACAACATCTGAAAGGCAAATATGGTCCTGTAATTGACGAGAGCAGGAAGTCTTGATTATTTCGTTACCCTCGATGACAGAATTCAAACGCATCTAGCTAAAAACATTGACCCAGTTTTGCGAAAGTTCAGGCCTTCTTTTGGCGCTGTATTTTACATTAAAGAGCAGTGGACAGCCATGCCCACGAGTAATCTAGAAATACAACAAATGGCCAATAAGCATCGATTCCTTCACTTCATTTTCACAAGAATCAAAGAGTCTAGGAGGAAATCGACGAAATAGAGTCTCCCTCAATCTACCTAAAGTGTTACACATGCCCTAAAATTAGTTTGATATAGTTCTTGAAAATGTTAGTTTTGCTTCTGCCTCGAGGTTGTTAGGTAGAAATCTTTATTTTGGCCAACGTTTCGACGGACTCGTCGTTTTCAAAGGCATTACTTCCACCGCGAAGTGTAGCACTACGCTACACGGTTAGTACATTAGTAGCGTTACATTTGATATACATTTTTTGCATTTTATCATCTGAACCTCCAAAAAAGTTCAAAACTACTCCTCTTCCATGAAATGCACTCCTAGAGAGAAGTAGCAAAATGCGGAAGGTTCGGAGGTTTGAGCCACTGTTTTCAGCTGAAATTGTTGGAATTCTGTATTGAGTGTGCCAAAATAATCACGATTTCATGTTCTCTTCGAATATGACAATATTCATGCCCTTCGAACATTGACAACAGCGTTTTTCTAATTGAAGTCGAGGGTCACAAAGCTGCAGCTATTTTTTGGGCTTCAGACCTTCGGGTGCTCAATTTTCGATCACCTTAAAATGAAGCCTAAAAGTCAAGGAATTGGAGAGTTCATAACAAACCTGAATTACTCATGAGCAGGGTTCTCCGATAGTATTATATTAACTGATTGGAGCATTTTAGCAAAAGTTGTGGCATCGGTTGACTACGAATTAGTAACAATATCGTATGTGACTTATGCAAAGAATTGCAGTGGCCAGCCCACGCACAAGTCAGCAATCTCGACTTGGGAGTGCACGAAATGTACGGGAGGCAAAAACTTGTCTCATCACGCGGGAGCTAAGGCCTTACAATACAAACTTTGCCTCACAATAGCTCGAGTGGGGACCAAGCCTAATAGTCGAATTGCTGGTTAAGTAGCCCATGTTTAAGTAAACTCTGGCCCTCCTAATTCTTAATCTTCAGTAGAGTTGTTGGAACGTCTGGTCAAGAAATCACAGAATGCATTGATTAGAGCCTGCCATATCTATTCACTTACCGTGTTCACCCACCTAGGTGTGCAATGAACGGAAGAAAAGTCCGTTTTGAATTTTTGAATTGAAAAGTGTCTCTACGAATGCTGGAAGTGATGACTTCATTTATTCTTAGTACCTGTTGACTTTTTTCATCAGAATTTCCTTATGTTTATATGTGGTTGGCTTCTCTATTCCTTGTCATTTGCATACTTTTGAATGGTATCTCATTCTGAATATTCTGCCATTTCCATATACATTCTCCACATCCAACCCTTTTCATAACCGTACAACATGATTGCTCAGCTTCTCCGTTTTTCTAATCAACGCATGCTGCAAGTAGAAATTCAGAGATTCGGTGATTTCTGAGGTGAAGTAGGATAGACGATACAGTGTCTACGTTTTTGTTATAAAGTCGACTGGATAGAGGAAGTGCTCATCGAACGCGGAAGCTTGACGGTCCGTGTCGTGGACAGAAACGTCACTTCTCGCACTGACGGAGGCTACTTTCGAGGAGTCGGGCACTCATTTCCGTGCCCCATCTCTGCGCCTAACCTTACTCAACCATTGCCGTTTCGTTCGCCGGCTTCGCGGAAGAAGAGGAGTGAGGGTAAGTGGGGGTACGAGGGAACGAGTCAAAGAAATACCACGATCCTCTGACTGTTTGGTGTGTGCCTCTGACCGGAGAGCTGCACGCGCCCGACTGTCTATGTACATATTGAAGCATTTATGCTTCGTGACGCTACTCGCTCCGTCGGTTCTCTTATTCACTGACCCATTCATGGATGTCTACCACCAAAAATGCAACACATCAACTACTAATGCTCCTGAAAGTTTTCTGTTGTGGTCCTTCCTGTTTGTACTCAGTGGAACTATATACCCTCCCACTTTTAGTAGGATGCAGATCACATCTTGGGATGAATAAAGTTACTGCTTTCGTCAGTTTTCGTCGTTTTTAATTGATGGTTTCATAGGTTACCGTTGTTAAAGCTCAGCTTTCATCGCAGCGCTGCAATGCCTGCTGGTTTGTGATTCGTTATTCAAATTTGTAAAGGCTACCGAGTCGCTGTGTTTACCTGGTTTCTTTCCTGTGGGAAACTCAGAATCGGAGTTCCAGGACCTTTTAGACCTATATGAGAGCTTATTACTTCCAGCTTGCCCGTTCTACTATACTTGCATGCTTTTGTACGATGAAAGATTTTCTCACAACGACCTCCAGCGAAAGTTCAAACACAGTTGGGATATTTGTAAGCCGGGTGTATATCGCCAAGACAGACTTAGTTGTCGGGGACTGCCTTTAATGGGTAGTGCGGGCGCGCGAATCACGGATGTTTTGCCGGCCACCGATCGCGCGGCCTCGTTTGAGCTGGCACGCCCGGCTGACCCGCTTTCGATGCTTCGTAGGATTGACTGGGGACATTAACTCTTCGCCAAGGTTCGCTCCCCTTACCACTCAACATGAGGCAATTTCAGCTTAATTACATTTTTCACGACAGAAAAGAGAACTGGCAGGCTGAGCTAGACTTTCCAACAAATTCTTAAGAAACGCAAGTAGTTCTTTCCGTTTCTGTGCAGTTCTCCTCTATGGCTCCAGAAAACTTGTTTCCATTCTGAAGTCCTATCAAGTGCGTCTCCTTCAATGTTTCTAGAAGCACAGAAAGGGATGTCAAAGAGGGATACCTTAATTTCTTCATATTGTTGTTCGCGAGCTAATCGACCACAATCATGTAACTGATCCTTTCAAGAGTGACTCGTTTGTATGTGCAATAGGGTTTAGTGGACTATCAAGCTTTATACCTTCATTGTTTTCAGATGAAGACTTTCTGATCCGAAATACTAAGGACTTAAGCGGAAGTATTTATTAAGCAGATACTACGCAATCATAGAAGTGGAAATTTAGGGTTTTAAGCACGGTGATACTATTTGCCCAAGAATACCCCTCAATACTTTGGCTAATGGCTCTTCGAAAGGTAGCGCAACAGCTCTTTTAGTTAGCATGCGTACCCTTTTTGAGTGCTAGTCCATGATGTATAAACTGAATCGGCTGACTTTCAGATCACCTGAAGTCTCTGATTGGATGTAGACCTCTTCCTCATACCTTCACAGGCAACTTCATTTGCCTGTGCACTACTTTCCATATCAGTGCATCCTTATACTTGCATTTGAATATGGCTGAAGAGTAAATGGAAAACAGATGTGTGTTGGAGAAGTTACAGTTCTGTGTAATGACTTCTCAACCTAATTTTCCATTCTACAACCGATCATGGTAGGTCGGAGTTGGTTTATTATCCGGCAATACGAATTTTTGATCGTGTAATTATTGTTGTTTCATCATTCCGTTCGAGTACGTAAATGTGCCTATCCAACTTTACGATCAATGCCATTTACCACTACCAGACCCATTTTGGTGCTGCGTGGAAGGCCGTTCGCCTGCCGCCTATGGGTGGCTACAATTCGGCCGTCACACGGACGTCGATGGCCTAGATCCATCGCCTCACAGTTCAACTTTACGCCTCGACTCGGTACCATGTAGCACGGCTATCCCACATATACCTTCCTTTTGCATTGTCTACGGAGATACTCTTGCTCCTTCTTATGAGTAAATATCAAACGAGACAGCATACGCTATGAAAACCTTTCGGGACCCTAACTATGAATTAGTTCTTATCGTTTATTCAGCAATCATTCAGTCAGCAAAGACAGCGTCCATGAAGAATTTCATCTCTGATGGATCTTCCTTTTTGTCACAGACACGTCTAGAGCGAACATTGGATTTGTTTTGAGACATTCTCGGAAATTCTGATTCTGCCAAGTCTGCGATCAGCCTATGGCGCCGAAACATAATTTTAGTGTTGAAAACACGTGAATACGATTTGTAGTTCGGACCTTCCTCTCGTCAGAAAGATGGGAACTAGGCTTGTGCACGCACGGGCGATATGTTAGCTCAGAAACTCTGAAGTCTAGGTGTAGCCGGATGTATTCAGTTGTGTTCGGGAATACATGGTAAGTCACGGCTTCGCGTGAGTGCAAGTGCGTAAAGCGTTTGTCCAGTTTTTGGCCGCAACCCAATTTCATCGCGCCTTCACTCACTTTCTCGATCTCGACTCGCTTTCGCCTCTAGCGGCGTTGCGATCCCGTGTAATTCGCCGCGCCTACAAGGCCTTTTTTGTGAGTATGTTTTTCGGACGAATCTGTGCCATGTAAAACTGGTTGCTGGCCGTTTAGTCGGCCATCGTGGCCTACTGTCCATTAGCCTTCTTTACATCGTTATAATTCCTTATATTGTCCTCGGTCACTGTCCTTCTTCGAGCAATGTGTTCGGTGCTTCTGAAGTCAATAATGAAATGATGTGTCCATCTGCATGCGATATGTAGGAAGAGGGCTTGAGTTTCAGTTTGAAGGTCAATGTTGCTCTTTAGGAGTCAGTGACCAGGGCTGCCAATCCAGTCTGGGTCGTGGTAAGGTTTTCTTACCTCTTCCGGTACCTCCAATTTCGCTGAAACCGAGTACGTACTGCATGTTATCATTACCTTTTTTCAGTGACTCATAACCAAAAAGTTATCAATTAGTATTGTTATTTTTATATTTATTATTTGCTGCATATGTGCTTATACCATATGTCCCTATTTATTATATATCATCAAAAGGAGATAGTGACGTACCATTAGTCGATCTTCTATCATACTTAAAGTTATGCAAAAAGCTCAATCTATCAAAATTGAGTTTAAGATGTCAGGAATGGAAAAGGTCGGCTCCTCAGACCTCTCGTCTTCTTCCACAGAAGCGTCGGCCATCTCACCTCTCAGTATGATCAGCGTTCCTTCTTCTCCAGATAAAGACAAGAAAAAGGTGGGTTGCGTGTATAATCTTCGCCTGATTATTAAAGGAGGGACAATGAACTTGGAACGAGACAGTGTTAGCTGGTGTTGCCCCAAGAAAATCATTTTTATTCCTGATGTAGATTGAACTCAAACATTAGTAGGACTATTTTCATAGTTTTTGTAGAGAGAAGGGGGTAAATAAACATGGATTGGAAGAAACAGCTGAAATAGATTGTCGATGTGTTTTAATGAGCGTTGCAAATGCTTCACTGCTTTCATATGACATGCAGAGAGGCCCGCTCGGAGCTAAGTTTTATCGATAGATATGACCAGTAATCGATCGGTAATGACACAACTATTACTGAGCCACCCATCTTCCGTCTTCCTTCTTCCACTATCTTCTTTTCTTCCTTTTTCTTTCTTCTTCTTTCTTTCTTATTTCTCATTCTTCTATTCCTTATTATATACTCTTCTTTCTTCCTTCGATGTCCTTCTTCTTTCTTTTTTCGTTCGTCGAATGAATGAAATGAATTTTAGCGACTGTGGACTGACGAATCCTAAGAACAAACTGATGCGCGGTTCCTGATCACTTAACTATCTTTTTTTAATTTCACTTCATGGTCATACAAAAGGTGCTTTGAAAATGATAAGTCTTCATGACTTCCAGGTACCATTTGTACGCTATAATCCTGACATACCTCAAATCGTCACTTCATTCAAGGGTTACCAGAAACTCATGTTCCAGGGGTATAGGTATAATATTTATCAGGTTGGTTGCCTCAATAAAATTCGTTTCAGTAGTAGTCAGTACACATATATTATGAAACCTAATATTTCAGGTGATGCCCGAACGAAATTTCAAATCATGGCGTTGTGTTTGCGCTAAGAAAATCCCGGACAATGGTTCATGGTGCAAGTGCCGTGCAGAAACTACAATGGACGACCAAAAAGCCGTCACGAAGGGTGAACACAATCATCCACCAAAACATCTTCTTGCTGAACTAGAATTCATCAAGGTAATCTGCCCATGACGACTCTACAGATTCCTGTGCAAAGTAGTTTTTCCCCTCATCACACTTCCTCATTTACTGTTTAATAGGAAAGTGTTGCCTCAACTGACACTTGACCAACATTATCAGATAATATTATAGTTCCCAGTCTCCTATCTGCGCGCGTGGCTTGCCTATCTAACGTACACATTCCGTGGATTTCGTCACAGTTACGCAACTTGAAATAGGATAAATCATGATTATTTTCTTTTAACAATATAAGCGACTGTATGTGTCCTAATATACAGGGTGACCCACATGAAGTATGACGGGCATTAAAAATCGTTTATGGGCTTCTGGGCTGGAGGATGCGGTGATCCCTTGGGCCGAGAAGAACACGAAGAACGTCACCCGAGCCTTTCAGCAAGATTGGGCACCAGCCCACAGCGCAAAGAAGGCACTGCAATGATGTGAGACCACGCTTCCGGGCCTTTCGACGAAGGCGGTTTGGCCTTTAAACTCCTCGATCTGAATCCTTTGGATTTGCCGTATGGTCGATTCTCGAGCAAAAAGCCTGCGAACACAAGTCTTCAGACTGTCTGAAAAAGCTCTTCTGTAAAAGCGTGGGAAGAAATTTTCCGGAAGTGATTGCACGCATTCTTGACTACTTCCGGAAGAGGTTGGATGCTTGCATCAAGGCGAAAAAAGGTCATTCTGAATGCGAGATGTGATATGTTGCTTACAGTTTTTGTGATGATTGTATGGAAGTAAATGTTTGCTATTTAGTTTGATTTATATAATTTTAATGTTAGTTTTCTGTGTCACACTACATGTGGCTCACCCTTTATGTAGGTATGTAAGTGAACAATCCCGAAATTGGGGTTTCTGCCTCAGACTGCCTTATTTTTTCCACTTTTTTACGTGATCTTCATTTTATTCGATGAAATTTCATATACGCCGTTCAGTGCTGAGATGGGATATCAATTGAACATCCAACTGACTCACCCACCCTGGAACTCCTTCCTTTCTCAGGCTTAAGTAAAAAATATTTGTAACATGAAAAATCTAAACCTTCTCTAAGCACGATTGTGGGCTCGCGAAGTTGGCTACTCTTCCTTTTTTGCGTGATTCAGAAGTGCTCCCCACC